ACAGATAGACTGAAAAATGAATAATTGGTAATAAAGAGTTATGTCTGATACACTTACAGGCAATGAAAACACCATGTCATTTTAGAGACCACCCAATGCTTGTAATTATAGACCACTGTTAGCAGAAGACATATGCTGGATCTGCCAGCTGAGAGGCCAGGCAGCCACAGCTCCATGTCCAGGTCCAAGCAGCAGTAAGGCTGAAAATCTGCTCCCAGCAGGCAAAGGCACATACCACATGCATACACCACTGGTCACACTGATCACAGACACACCAAAAGCTTCACCCTGCTCTTCTCTTTGGCTGGGTGTAAGAACACCTGAGGCTCCAGCCCAACTCTGTTGCTGTCACACAAAGCTGGCTGGGACACCCTACTCCCCCAGAATCCAACCCCACCACAGTCTTGCCTGTAGGGACTCACAGGCACATAAACGTGTCTCATCCCTGGAGACCCTGTAATCCTACAGTCTCTCCAGCAGCTGGCCCTGACTCTCCAGTGCCTCCAACAATTAGCTCCTACCATGGTCTTGCTCTTAGAGATACACACCTCCCAGCTCCCACCTTACTCATCCACTCACCAGCTGATCCAGCTTAATCTCCACTAGCAGCCACATACTCCCTCACATACCCACATTTGCTCCGGTACTGCAGCACAGATAAATAGGTCCCCATTGCCACTCCAGTGGCTGGCACTTGGTTTTACTGACTCCATGAAGTGCCCCTGGTTGCTGGCACCCAGCCCTCCAGTTTTCAATGGCATCCAGACCTGCACTTATTCCAGTTGCTGGCACCATAGACACACTGTCCCCGTGACCCACAGTTTGACTCCAGCTGCTAGCACCGAGATGTACACCCTCTCCCCTCAAATGGAGTCCCTCACCCAAGAAAGAGTTGGAAAGGAATTTAACAGAAAGACAGGACAGACTGTGCTGATCAGGCACAGGGCATGGCTAGAGACAAGCGTACCAACCAGCAGCCTATTCACAAATGACTAGACCTTCTTATTCCTTTATTCCTCTATTTTCCCACTGTTACTTCTCCACAAGTCACCTGAACCTACCCCTTTCCCCACCTTTGATTCCTCCTCTGCACATCCCATAATAAGCCACAGGCAATCTCAAAATGCTGTTCTCACACATCCCATAATGCGTCACACA